TTGGAACACCTCATAGGTGACATTTCAAAGTAAAAACAATGATAATGTAATCATAAGATAAAAGATCACTCCTCCAGGGGCTGGCGGAGTGACTCAGGTGGTAGAGCCTCCCTAACAAACACAAGACCCTGAGTTCAATCACCAATACCACCAAAAGAAAAGAAAATCACTCCTTCAAGTTAAAACTGACTAAGAAAAATATCTCAAAGATGTGAAAGTCAATTTTTACCCATTGTTACTAGTAACCGCCTACACCCAAAGTCTTTGTCATGCCTTGAGATACTGACCAACAAGGAAATGATGTTTTCTGGGATAACAAGGCATCTTAAGTTTATATTTTATCTTATCCTGTTTAAAGATAAAGCATATATTTAAAATATTTTCATAAGAAACATGATATTAACACAGGAATATGCATTAGTAATTTATAAATAAACAATATTTCAGACATGTAACGAAAAATTCTTTACTTATAGGCATGAATAAAAAGAAAAAAACATGGATACCTCTGACTTCAAGAACTAGACATTGGAGTTGGGTGGTCATGATGAGCATGGCTAATACGGTCATCCCCCTTTTCCATGGGAGATATCCTCTAAGACCCCTCCATGGGTGCCTGAAACTGAGGATAGCACCGAGCCCAATGGCTTAATGTCGTTTGCATCTTAGTTAAGTACTTATCATGCACTGTGGCTATGGCTTTCACAGTTTAAGGTGTAACAGCAAAACTAACCTGAATTTCTTCTTCCTCCTTCACAATTTCACAAATAGAAGATTGGTTCCTACTGTCGTTCTTCCTTAACTCGAGAACTTTCACCTTTTCACTTAAAGGAAGCGCTTTACTGCTTCTCCTTGGCCCATTGGGATTGCCAGCATCACAACTCTTGCACTCTAGACAGTTTTAGGTAAAGGAAGGGTCACATGATTGCAGGCCCTGTGACAGCCAGCAGCATGAAGATGCTGGACATATTCTTAGCGGGACAGGGTGGGATGGCGGGAGATTTCAGCATGCCACTCAGAACAACGCACAATTTAAAACGTACTGGTTTTTTCCTAGAACTTTCCCTTTAATGTTTTGGCCTGCAGTTGATCATGGGTAACAAACCATTAAGCGTGAACCCAAGAATAAGTGGGGGATGCTGCTGTGTCCCACTCTTCCAAACTTATGGACGATCGCACCTGCCAGCTTGCCTGTGTGGGAGGAGCCACAAGACCATGCTGTACCAGGGGTTGAGGGCAGAATGAATGGACCATTTGGTCCTGGTGCAAGGCTCTGCTGGCTCTTTCTTCCTCAGGTTGTTGGGGAGGCCTTGTATTGAGATCCAGAATTAAAAGATCATAGCATCCTGAATCACTGAGTTGCCCAGTAGAGGACAGCTACCCTGGAGAGTTGCCCAGAAATGAGTGAGCAAGAACGAAAGGGTTGTTTTCAGTCAGAGATGTCAGAGTTGCTTGTAACTCTGGCCTACTATGCCCATCCTGACTAATAGAGGAGATGTCCCAGGCAGGGGATGAGAACATGCCCAGGTGAGCAACCTCACACTAGTTGCTGGATGTTCCCAGTTGGCTCATAGTCCACTGAAGGAGCAGATGACCAGACACAGCCTTGAGCTCTGATGGACAGGTGTGGCCTCTGGCCTTTGCATCGATTTGAAGAGACAGGGAAGCTATAAATTTGCATTTTGCTGGATTGGGCTGTAGCTGGGCCCTGGCTTCTGGTTCACTGATACCACTCTTAGCACTGGAAGCCGTCTGCATTGACCTATCAGGAGGCTACACTATGGAAGAAACATGTCACGTCCTCTTGCATGATCGCAAGAGTCACAGTGCATTCACAGGTTAGTGGTTTGCTCTTCAGTGGTCCCTATCAGGGATAGGGAAGCCCTTGGTGTGGCCACAAAGTCCCCTTACTAATGTCATGGGTGACTCTTCCTGAGAGTGGCTTTGGCATTTCTTACTGGGCAGGGCTAAACAAGAGAGATGAATATTGGCAGAGGAGTTCCACCCATGGGTCAATAACACTTTGCTGGTTTTTGGTGTCAATGAAAGGGCCAGATTCCCCAAGGAGGTAGCGTGTGTCATGCCTCTGTTTTGCTGGTCCTCTGAGCCATGGGTTAGGTTTCAAGTAATTTTGAAACCTTGGCACCAACACCCTGTGGCTCTCTCCTCTCTTTCTTCTCCTTGCTTGGGAACTATGCCTTTCTCTGTCATTTCCTCATGGACATGCGAAGCCCTGGCAGTGCCATAATGCCTGATGACCTCCTGGGAGAGCTAAACATTTGATGCACATACCAGATCTCACGGTTAGGCTAGGAAGATGGAGGCTCCCACTGAAAGACTGGCAGTATTCTCAGAGAAGATTCCAGGCTTGGAGATACAATGTCCAGGGTTAGCTTTGGATGGGGTGAGTTTCTGGGACATATAGAGGCTGTTTTACAGACATGTCCCTCATACCAAAGCAACTGATGCAGACATTTCCTCCAGTCATGGGACAGTGCCAGAGTCACGATTTAATTCCCAAGTCCATGTGTCTTCTCACTGTCGGCAGACTCTGCTGCCCTCTTTGACACTTAAGGCTTGGTCCTTACCGTGGTCACTTCCACCTGGATTCTACACTGCTCAAAACATCCTGGAGGACCCATCTCAAGCCTCGTGTTCTCAGATATGTAGAAGGTCAGTGGATACATGGCTGGAGATGTACAGCCCCACCACAGAAATTTAATTTTTCCCTTGGATTTGATCAGACAAGGGTGCTGACAACAAGGGACTGGTGAGAGTGTGGCTGGAAGCCAGCAGACAGGTGGGGAAGGAACAAGATATCATTCTAGATTTTTCTCCCTTATGTCTTAATGCCTACTTCCTTATGAGCTTGAAGCTTCCATGTGTATCACTCAATGACCTGCATCTCTGTGAAAGCTGCTTAAAATCACCTTGCTTTGACTGTCCAGAGTGATGCTTAATAATACTAGTATTCATAACTAAATAAGAAATCGATAATTAAGATAAAAAGTCAACCAGGACACCTGTAGATGAATCCCTTGGCTATTGTTAAAATAAGCCTGCTGTGTCCAACAGGTTGCATTGCAGCCCAAAGCAACAATCCACTCACACGTGCTTTTCCAAGGAAATACTTTTCTCTGTGTTCACCTGGAGCCTAGGAGAGCCCATGGCTACAGGGCGAAGGCAGCTGCCTTCTGAGTGAATGCAAGTTCTTGACTAGCTTTGCATGTGGAGAACCTGGTATTGTGAAAGGTATTGGAAGGGGTTTCTGTCCCCTTCCTGGTGGTTCCACCATCTTTCTCAGGCCTCTTCCTGCTGTGTCTGGCTTCTCCCTGTCTCCCCATCACTGCTCCTGCTGGGGAATAGTGACCCATGGTCCTCACAGGGGCTCCTGGAGGAACCCTCCTTGAAAACAGTCACATTGTGACTTGGCAAGAGCAAGATGGAGTATGTTTGGCAGCTGTCCTTTCCTCCAGGGAGAATTCCTTCATCCCATGAATAATAAGACCTGGTTACGTTTGTCAAGAGACAAAGATTACAACAAATTTAGTCATTGATCTCCTTGGCTTTTATTTGTGATTCATGAACCAGAACACCCTTGTTTTATGAAACAGAATAAGAGCTTCCACGGGGCCATGGAAGACCAGTGGGTTTCATAGGGTGGGAATGAGGAAGCAGAAAGATAGCAAAAGAACCTGACTGCCAACTTTGGATTCCTTATTTGGTAGCAGCTGAAACAGAGGGCCTCTCTTATGCTTCTGGCTCAGGTAGACTGGAATCTCCTGTTTTCTGAAAAAGTGGATGTGTTTTGAGATCTGCCTGCTTCCTACAGTTTTAGCTTGATACTATGGTATTTAGCATAAGTGACTCCATTTTGGACTAATCTGGTCTGTTGAGTCGAGTGCAGGAGCTCAGCCCAACAATGCTTAACATCCTGCTCCTGTCCACAGTCCTGTCAAGGGAGGGGCAGATAGACTCTTCTGTGCTGTGCTCTTCTCTTGGGTGCTGTGGATGTCTTTCTGTGTGTGAAAGTACTTTCCAGGATTCTGGATAAGTAGCACTTTCCCATAAGACCAAGGTTTCACATGGATTGTACCACAGCCTTTCTTCCAGTACAGCCTGTTCTCCTGTCATGGCTTCCATCTCCCCTTGAACAACTAGGGACCCTGTCAGGTCTCTCCCCTTCTCCAAGGTCCCTGTTCCCACCGGCCCTGTTCTAATCCACTGACTCCCCTGGCTTTTATCTACTCTTTCTCACAGCTTCCTTTCTGAGAATCTGCGTGAAAATCTAGTCTCAATTTCATATAGATACAGTGGGACATTGTTGGAATGGTCATACTAATTAATACCCCCCATTAACTTTCATTTCAAAAGATTGTGCTTGAGCGGGCATGGTGGTGGACGCCTATAATCACAGCACTCAGGAGACTCAGGCAGGAGGATCTAGCTTGAAGTGGCCCTGGGCTACATAGTAAGATCTTGTCTCAAAAAAAAAAAAAAGTTGCCCTTTACAATGTTGTCAGAAGCCAAATTTGATGGCCAGCACTTTACCCTCAATGAGAGTAACTGAATAGTTTGCTGTAAGACATCAAAAAGATCAAGATTGATTAGCAGATCCCGGCGTAAAGTCATGGTTTAAGGCTCATAGAAAGGACCTGGTTTGTACAAGCTTAGGCTCTTTGTTGCCATTTTCCTATTGAGGTCAGAACCGATGGTTTGTAAACTCTAAAAATATCGAAGAACTTGAATGTGAACTTGAAAATTCTTTATTTGAAAGCAGAACCTATAATTTTGCAGAAAGCAACTCTAAGAAGTGCATGCCTTCCTCCGTTGCTGTGGGAGGCCCCAGAGGTGAAGCTGCAAGTCTGTCTACTGAAACATAGGATGAAGGACAAGGAGCCTCCTTGTCCCTCTGTTCCTGGGTAGGGACTCTCGGTTGAGAGCCTGGGGAGCTCCCACATCTGTCTCTAATGCCCCTGTGTCGCCCGTTTCTCTCCCAGCTTGTCACATTCTGGAATGCTGTGACGGGCTGGCTCAAGATGTCATCGGTTCCATTGGACAAGCCTTTGAGCTCCGGTTTAAGCAATACTTGCAGTGTCCTTCCAAGATCCCTGCTCTCCAGGATCGGTGAGTAGTACTATCACACCATTTACAAAGCTTCTCTGTGTTCTATGCCCTTTCGTTTTAAAACCATTTCCCAGAGCTGCACTGTGCACAGACCCAACTCATCACAGGCTGTCCTGGGCACTCAGACACCTGGTTGGTGCTGAGCTGTGGCACAGGGAACTGACAGATGGAAGCTAGCATATGGATGATGCTTTGACTGTGTAGAAAACATTTTCTTGAAACTATAGCAATGGTAGCCAAGGTTACCGAAAAGCAACTTCACTGGGGTATTTTGTCTTTCTGTTTCACCTGCAACCATGTGATTTTTCCTTATGTCTTCTCCTTGGGTCTGTGTCTCCACAGATTCTACATGTCCCATTGTCCCTGTTGTCACACTTAGCCAAAGCCCTGCCACAAAGGGGCTCTCACAGGCAGCCAGCATTGTTTTGCCTCATGGGCTCTGTGGCATGAGGAGCTTGTTTGTCTGCTGTGTGCCCAGGGCAAGTTCCCTAACCTCTCTGAGTCTTAGTAGCTTAATCTGTAAACTAGGGATACTAATGGGTGGTAGTTGTTTTAATGAAGATGAGACAGTGAATGTCAACAGCAATCATGACCTATTTAGTTTTTATAGCATACTCAGAGTCCACTACTGAGTTTCCTTAGGATATGAGAATACTCCATGTAGTATAACGCATTTTAAAAAGTACTGTGGCACAGACATGTGGGTCGTTCAGTGTGCTGTCTTTGATCTTGTGTGCATTCTGTCCTTGACGAATTTCATAGTGAAAATCTATTATAATGGTGTGCTCACTGTAAGCAAACTTTATTTCTCCCCTGTGTTTTTTACTCTCTTCAAACTTGTAAAGCCACATTCCGGGATGTAGTCATGAAGTCAGGTGTCTGCTTTTGCTCCACTGTTATTAAGGCTTTTTTCATCTTTCTGGAAAGAGACTCTTAGTTTCTTTTCCTCATCCCCTGGAAAACTCCCTTGAAGATATTCATTTAGAGGTGCCTGTGGAGGACTGCTTCTCCCAGGTGACAGAAAGTTCAGCTAGGTGCTAGCTGGGGCAGGGAGGGCTCCTGGTCTGACAGTGTGTCAACAGATGTCTTCATTTGTATATGATGTGGGACATGGTAGTTAAAAGGATTCATTCAGTATGAACCTGAAGATTTATAACAAAGGATAAGAGCCATTTACAAACATTTTAAAAGCATATGAACAATTTGCAAATATATATAGTTTATGAGTAAAAACATGTGCACAAAGACTATGGGGAACATAGAATAGACGCCCACTACAGGGTATCTGAGGATTTGGTGGGGCTGGGATGATGGTTGAGTTTGAACGGTATTTGGCAAATGTATTTGCCCCTTAACATTTTATAAAGAAAATATTTCAATATACACAATGAATTTTACAGTGAACATTTATGTATCACATTTTTCTATAAACATCACACACGTATCTATTTATCCATGCAAAGTAAATGTGACAAATTTTCTTTCTTTTCTTTCCTCTCCTTCCTCCCTTCCTTCCCTCCTTCCTCCCATCCCTTTCTTCCTCCCTCCCTCCCTTTCTTCCTTCCTCCCTCCCTTCCTTCCTCCCTCCCTCCCTTCCTCCCTTTCTTCTTTCCTTCCTTCCTTTCCTCCCTCCCACCTCCCATCATTTCGTTCCTTTCTTCCTTCCCCTCTTCCTTCCCTCCCTCCTTTCATCTTTTCCTCTCTCTACCCTCCTTCCTTCCCACCTTCCATGCCCCCTTCCTTCTTTCCTGCCCTCCCTCTTTCTTTCCTTCTCTCCCTCCCTCCCTCCCTCCCTCCTTTCTGCTGGCTGCTAGCTCTGTCCACTTCATAGGCACTGGGAGCACAGCCCATGGGGCCTCCCTGGGGCTGGCTCTACCTTATGTCCCAGTCCCAGTCCCACTCCTCTAGCTAGCGACAGCCTGGGGATGAAAGGGCCTACTCTGCCTCCAGCTGCCCCTCCTCTCTCTTGGATCTCTGGGGACCTGAACTGTGGGTGGCACTGGCAGGTTTTCCTTCTGAGCCATCAGAAGATCTAAGCAGTCCAGTGAGGCAGGAGCTTCTATCGGAGGGGAGTTCTCCTTGGTCTTTCTACTCACTCCTCTGGGCCATTTCTCTAGAAATTGTGATGCATTTGCTGGAGGCAGGGGGATTTGGTGATTCAGATTCGATGCCCATGCAGCCTCAGTGTTCAGTGTCTGAGGAACCAGGGACCCCTTGCCTTCTCTCACTGCTGGTACATATTTGCTTGACTATACATTATTCTTGTTCATCGTGTTAACTGTTTACTCTTAATCTATATCCATCCTCTTCTTTAACTGAAAATCAAAAATAGAACATTTAAATCAATGGTGGTTTTGGTGATGGTCTGATTTTCCTTGCAGAAATCCAAGGTCATTTCAACACCAAATCAGAGAAGATGATTAAAAGCAAATCATATGTAACTAAAGTCCCACTTACTAGTTTTAAAAAACTGATCTGTAATTTATATGTGATTTAATTCATCTTTTTAAATGTATAGTCTTTTCAAAATGTATAGTTCATTTATTTGGAGTTAGTACAATAATCATTAGTTCCAGAAAATTTTCATCAGCCCCAAAAGAAACCCAACACCATCAGCATTTTAAAAAAATTTTTCTATCTCCCTCTTCCCAGTTTGCCAATTCTGGACATTTCTTATAAATGGCATTATATCGTGTGTGTCTGACTGCTTTCACTTTTAAGAATGCTTCAAAATTCATCCGTGTGGTAAAATCTGTCAGTATTTTATAGTTTTTAGGGTACTTAACAATGTTGCATTGTATGGATATATCACCTTTTGTTCATCTGTTCTTTAATTTATGGACATTTGAATTGTTTCTAACTTTAAGCTCTTGTGAATAATGCTGCTATGAAGATGCTTATAAGTTTTTGGGTGGACATGTTTCAGCATCCTTATATATATATACCTAGGAGGAGAATTGATAGGTCAAATGTTCATGCTATGCTAAGCCTTTTTGAGAAGTTGCCAAGCAATTTTCCAAGATGGCTGTACCATTTTACATTCCTATAAGCAATGTAGGAGAGTTCTAGTTTCTTCATGTCTTTATCAACATTTGTTATTGTCCATTTGATTATAACTACCCTACTGAAAATGAAGTGGCCTCTGGTTGTGATTTTGAGTTGCACTCTCCTGATGACTAATGATGTTTAACATCTTTTCATGCGCTTATTGGTTATTGGAGAAATGTCTCATCAAATACTTAGCCCATTTTTAAAGATTGGGTTATTTGTCTTTTTATTATTGAGTTATAGGAGTCTTTATGTTTTCTGGATACATGTTTGTAGATATATGAAGGGCAAATGTTTCCTCTCATTTTGTGGGTTCTGTTTTTTCAACATGCTTTGTGATTTTCAGTGTACAGTCTCTTACTTGTTTCAGCATTTTTTTCTCTTAAATATTTTATTCTTTTTGATGCTATGATTGTTGGCAATAATGGTGCCGATAGGTTTCGGTTCTTATTGCACCCTTAAGCTGCTGTTTCCCAGGGTTACGGTCCTGCCTCAAGTCTAGCTTGAACTCCCCTTCTGCCCCAACCTCCAATCAGCATGAACCATAAGATCCTAACCAATCAGATCATGCCGAGTCTCATGAGGGGTATTTAAGCCCCTGCCCCTCTTTCTTTCTCTCTCTGCTCTCTCCCTCTCCCATGCAGCAATAAAGAATCTCTTGGCCAGATCGTTCCTCTCCACGTGGTCACTTTGGGGCCTACATTTGGTGCCATGACTCGGATCGGGTTTCACCAGTAATCCTGGTGGGACCCCGATTCTGACTCACCCCACGACCACCTTGAGGACATGACTGGCCAGGACTCATCCTCCCGATCTCCCTCGCTCGCATCCAACACCGGACATCCTTTGGTGAGTCCACATACCCTTATTGGGCTCCCTTTGCGGTCTCTCCCTTCAGTGTCTCTGGGGTTTCAGTGTCCCCCCTTTCCAATCATCTCTGGGGCTCAGGCGGTAGAGGAAAGACCTCTTTCCCAATCAGCCTTGGCTTGGGTCTATTTCTGTCGTTCTTGGTCTCAGAGACCACCCGTCCGAAAATCCCAGCGCCAGGTAACCCACAGCCCCCTTGGCCTTTTGACCCTACAAGCCACTAGAATGCAGTGGCAACTGCTTCTCATGCACCGTGTACCATTCTCGGATATTTGAGCTGCATGGGGATGCCCCGCGATTCATAATATCCTCCCAATCCCTTTTTTGTTTCGGGACCAGGTCCCAACATGGGGGCCTCCTCCTCTTTTCCATCTGACTCCCCACTGAGATGCCTCCTCAATAATTTAGACACCTTGGGTTTGACCCCAGGTATAAAACCAAAAAATTTAATTCGCTTTTGCACTCAAATCTGGCCCACTTATCCTTTAGACAACCAAAGTCACTGGCCCCTTTTTGGGTCTTTAGATCCCAACCTTTTATGGGACTTATAACTACTGTGAGCAATAGGGATGATGGGGAGAGATTCCATATGTCCAAGCTTTTTCATACCTCTGCCTAAATCCAGCCTTCTGCACCACTTGCAAGCCAAAACATGTACTTCTTGCCCTCAAACCCTCCCTTTGGACCTTCTGTTCCCCTGTGCAGATTCTATTAGCCTGTAAACCAGTTTCTAAATCAGCCAATTCCTCTCCCAAACCTCCTCCTTCCCCATGTAAACAGACTTCTTGCACTGCTTACCATGCCTGTCTCTTCCTATTTTCCTGAAAAACTTTCCCCGTCATGGAGTTAAGCAAGCCACTCCTTGCCAATTCTGGCCTCAAGGAGGTTCCAGCTCTGGGAGAGCTCATGCTCCCTTCCTGTGGGCTGAGACCAAGCCCCGGATTTATTTGGGTATGCCTCATGCTACATTGGTGGAGTCCTGTTTGATTATGGCATCTGACGACTGCTTTTCTTCCCCTGCCCCCACCATCTAATGCCCCTTTTTCCTGAGACAGTGACCAGAGAGTGGAGGTTTCGTTTTGCTG